GGGGGGAGAAGAGGTACTTGCGATCGCTTGACAACCCTTATCAGACGGCGTCGTGACAATCGATTTTAAATGGTGTTCTGCGTTCATTGTGCTCGGGGGATAGGTGATTACACTGGGAATCACGTGGAAAAAGAGAGGAGATTAAACGGGAGTGGAGGAAAGAATAATTAATTGATGTTTCGGTGCAATCGGGAATTCATTAATTTGATATTTAGATTTATGGAGTGGAGGTGGGGACGGGGTAAATGGGGATTGATGAATGGGGATTATGGGGGTAATGATTTCAGATGATTTGAGTCGATTTTGGGGGAGTTAGGGGTCATCTGGATTAATTGGGGTGAATTTAGGTATTTTCGGTGACTGCGAGATATTTTCGGAAAAACTCATCAGCGACGAGAAATTGAATTTCGATAGATTTGACAGCTGACAGCTGAGGGCAACAACTGCCATTGGGATCAGTTACGGGACCCTCCTGCGGGCCCCCATGCCGACCACGATATTTTAAAACTCGCCTGGTCGGCTGTATTCCCTATTTCATCACCGCGAAGCCGAGAAAATTTCCTTTCTCTCTTGATAATCCTGGATTTGAGATCTACTAGGAATTACTTGGGTGTAAACAAGAGGTACCCCGACCGGTCAGGAAATCGGCCAAGGGCCAATAACCGGGCTTGTCCCTTCACTCCATCGAATTGAAGAAAATTTTTGACTATGAAACAGGTGGGAAATTACGGGGAACAGTTCAGAAATCTACGAGTGGTTTAGATTCAAGAAAACCCTCAGGTTTTCTAAAAAAAAATTACGTAAGTCTCTCAAAAAAAATCCCAGTCATTTTTCAAACCCAAGTCGATAATGAGGGGATTCCCCTCGCCAACAGTCGCCCATGAAAACCGCCGAGCGCTCGAATCGCAAAAGTAGTAGCAAAAAATGACAAAAAAAATCCTCCGCCGCATTTTCCGTGAAATAAACATGACTGGTCGCTTGTACAATTATCCGCTCCTCCGTCGTGGACCGAAAAAGCCAAATGTAATATTCACGCACCACCTGTGATCACCGGAGGCTAAAAAAATAATCCAGTCGTCGTGAACAAATCCATGTTCATCGTTCATTCCGTGTGTTCCTGCTGAATGTTAAATGTGTTCGTTCCGAGTGTTAAAAAGAGAAAATAATAGTGCATTAATCAAATTTAACCTGTTGTGCTGCCAACGTACATCTGACCGATAGTAATCTCATTATCAAATATGTTGGAATACTTTCACCGTGCCACCGCGGAATACTGAACAAATAACATATTCTCAACTCTTCTGTGATAACGGGCCAATCGCCAGCCAATAACAAATAAAGGCTAATTATAAACCGATTTATCGCTGGGGCTCCTTCGTGTTACTTTAATTGTTAATTATGAATTTTAATTGATGAAAATCGGGGAGGCGAAGGCAGTGAGTAACACCAATTATTTTTCAGTTTTTTTTGCTTTGAAAATTGAAAAAAAATCTGGATTCTTCTATTTTTTTTTTGGGCTCTGGGGGATTTATTTTTTTATTAATTAATAGGACTTTTAACACTGGGGCTCTTCGTGTTTTATTAACTGCTAATTGCGAATTTTAATTAATGAAAATTGGAAGAATTGGAAGATTTTTTTTAAGAGTTTCTTCCAATCTTACTTTTTTTTATATTTAAAATTTGTTTTAATATAATATTTAATATAATTATAATAATATAATACGATTTTTTTTTCAATTTTTAATAAAAATTGGGTCAAACAATCATGCGAACGATTTTGGTCATAACTTTGAAAATATTTTTGCACTTCAAGATTTGTCTGAAGTGGCGACTTCACTAGTTCAAATTCAAAAAAAAATTCTGGATTCTTCAATTTATTTTAATTTTTTTTGTGCTTTGGGGAATTTTTTTATTAATTACTGGCATTTTTATCATTGGGGCTCCTTCGTGTTGCATTAATTGTTAATTATGAAATTTAATTAATGAAAATTGGAAGAACTGGAAGAATTTTTTTAAAGAGTTTTTCAATTTTACATTTTTGTCTTTAGAAATTGAAAAAAAAATTCAATCCGAGCAAAATGTTTTCAAGGGCGAACGATTTTACTCATGACTTGAAAATATTTCTATACCTCTAAATTTCCCTGAAGTACTTCAGAAAGAAAATCCGAATACTTTAATTTATTTTAATTTTTTAATGCGTTGGGGGATTTTTTTTTCATTAGTTATTGGGATTAATTGTTAATTATGAGTTTCTTTTCAATTTTACATTTTTTCTCTTAAGAAATCAAAAAATAATGTTTCAATATCTGAAAAAAATTCTGGACTTTTTAATTAATTTCAGTAGCGAAGTGGTAAAATGGTGCTGGTCAATTTTGACTATTGACCAGTTTTCATTTAATATCTCGAAATCTAAAGGAGATAGCAAAATTTTTGTTGTAACCTTTTTTGTAGAGCCGATTGAGAGCTACAACAAATGTGATTATAAAAATTTCGCTATCTCCGTTAGATTCGGAAATATTACTCAAAAACTCAACTGGGAGATGAGTCGACTTAAACCGCTTTACCACTTCGCCACTGATTTTATTTTATTTTTTTGTGTTCTGGGAGATTTTTTCCATTAATTATTGAGACATTATCGCGGGCCTTGACCAACTTGTTGGGTCTCTTCACTAGGCACGAGTTCTCGGAGAAGGGGAAGCGCTGATGATTCATCCTCGATGATTACAATGTAGCATCGGTAGAAAGTATTTCTCATTGCTTCCGGGATTGTTTGCAGATATGGTAGCAGCTGGGGCGACAGCTCTGATGGCTGCTGGTGACAGCGGTACATCAAAAACAGCTGATAACGGGGTGCAGGAGGGACAGTTGAGCGGCGAGGGCGAGAGGAGGAGGACTTCTGCTTTTGCTACAAGTAAAATCATTTTTTTCTGTTTGTCTCATTTTTCATGGTTTTTTTGCTTTCTTTGAGGGGCGATAACTCGGAGTTGGCTGAGTGAATTTCTATTATTCTTTACTCATTTTAAAGACGATTTTTCAGTCTTAAAAATGAATTTTGATTCATCCAAATCGCATCATTTGTAGAGGAGATCTCCAAGGTTTAGTGAAACAATTTTTCGTTATTTTCTTCTAAATTCAATTTTCACCGTTTTTTTCTTTGGATTCAATTATAAATTCCTTGGGATTGGCCGACTGGAATTTTACGAGTCTAAACTCATATTAAAGACGATTTCTCAATCTAGAAAAAGAATTTTGATTCCTCGAAATTGCACCATTTGGACAGAAGATTTCCAAAGTTTAGTGAAACAATTTTTCTTCATTTTTTTCAAACTTCAATTTTTACCATTTTTTTCTTCGGATTCAATTTTGATTTTCTCGGGATTGGCTGAGTAGAATTTCACGAATCTCGACTCATTTTAAAGACAGTTTTTTAAGCTTGAAAGTGATTTTTGATTCATCCAAATCGCACAATTAGAATACAAGATATCCACCAAAACATGAAGCTCATTTTTTCAAAAACCATCTTCATGGTCATGAATATGCAAAAGCCGTTCTGCTAGTTTATTCCGCCGATAAAAACGAATTCCTCAGCTATTTCGAGACATGATCAAAGGATGGAGTTCATCCGCGTGATTTTCAATCGGAAATTCCCCCGGGCATGAGGTAAAACGGCCTCGATCAGCTAATGGAACTTGAATGTTCAATTAATGATTGAAAAAATGAGAGGAATTTCAGTGAATCAATGGTTTCAGTGATCACAATTCTTAGGAAGTCGATTCGATCGATGAATAAGTCATTGAGTAGTTCAAAGAGTTCCTCTCACTGATGTCTTCACAGAACGAAAAAAAAACAAGTGGACAATTCCATTTCTTGAATAAATTTTCTTCAGAATGTGTTCTCTTTTTTCAATTATTATTTCACTATTCTCTTCTATTCTTTCATGTCATAGCGTGAAAAAATAGCATCAATTGAAATGTCATAACTGAATATTATCTGTGAATGCAGGGAGGAAGGACAGCTCAATCACACCAAATAAGACTGCATCAATTCGAGAGACGAAGACATCTAGACTTAGAGCCGCATCAATCGTGTCTCCCACAGGTGAGTAAAAACCGAGACCCCCCAAATCTTCAATATCTCGGGACCAAACGATGGGATTCCGGCGAGTCAGGGCTGGTTTTGAAGCCTGAAAAAATCCCTTCAAAATGAAAAAAAAATCCCCCAATTTCACTCAGCCAATCTCCAGTTATCGACGATTGAAAAATGATGGGTTGTTAATCCTAACTGACGAATGTTTTCGAATTCTTTTCAATCAGATACTTCAACAGTCAGAAAGCCTGGGCTATCGGAGACAGTTCCAACGTCACGCAGTTCTCCCCACACGTCAAGCAGTAACTTATCAACAACTCAGGTATAAACAGCAGCTATTGGCATGATGACCTTTGCTGAGTAATTCCTCAGTTGAATTATTACCACACGTATCAGCACTTCGATAACGTAAAAACTCTTTTTCCTTTGAAATAATTGCAGAGAACAACTCGAGCCAGCGGAATACCGCAGACATTTTCACGGGAGAGGGAGAGACATCGACAGGCCTCCAGCAGAGGGGCGGATGTCCATGAAAAATTGATGGAGGCGAGTGCTGGTGAGTATTTTTGCACCTTTGGATTTGGGGGATTCAGGGAATGTTAAGGGGCATTTTGAAGTTATTTAGTTGGACAATTCCTGGGGGATTGTGACTTGGATCAATTTTTAATCAGATCTTGAGGTTGTGGGGAATGTCGAATGATGAATGGCTCTGATTGTTCAGTTATTTGGGGAAAATAGAATATTATGGGCTTTAAAATTTTTGGATAAGGGGGTTGTTGAGAGGAATGTCTAGACTTTTTTGGGAATAGCTTGGAAACTGAGGGGTTTGAGGGAAAATGTCAGAAAGAATTTTTTGTGGAGGATTTAATTCGCTAGAAAAAAGGTCTGAATGCATTTTTTGATAAATCTAATGGTTTTTGAGATTTTTGGGAAATAGTGAGGACAGGATTTTCTTTTTTTAGTGAAAAATTCATGATTAGAATTGTCTTTTGTGGGATTATACTAGGTCTGATGGCTTGAATTATTTTTTAATCTTGCAGACCTAGAGGTTGTGACTAATATTGAATATGGAATGTCTCTAATTATTCAATTAGAATATTATGTGCTTTAAATCTTTGGAATGAGTGGATTGAGAAAAATATGTCTAACCTTTTTGGGGAATATCTCGGGAATTGAGGGATTTAAGAAAAAATGTCAAAAGGAATTTTTTATGGGGAATTTAATTCGCTACAAAAAAGGTTCAAGTCAATTTTTCACTAAATCTAGTGGTTCATGGAATATTGGAGAAATTATGTGGATAGAATTTTTTAAAGCAATGAATTCACCCTTTGTCTGGTTTTTTCACTCTACCTTTGTTCGAGGCAGGAAAAATTACGGCCGTAACGAGAAATTGGCGTGCAGGAAACATCATTCTGCCCATTGGAATGAATTTTTTCCTACCTATTTTCCGATAAAGCTATTTTCATCTCCATTTTCAAGGGTTCAAGTGCTCTCGTACGTAGTCTTATCGATTTTTTTTATGTATTCTCATGTGGAATGAACTGAAAGGGTTCGTTTAGTACTCTGAAAGCTTTGAAATTCATTGTTGAGGGAGGGGAATGGGCTCATGAGTTGATAGCAAATTTCAATTGCATAAAATTCCTTTTGAATCGAGGGAAACAGTGAAACTTTGATGATGAAAACATTTCACTCATTTCCTGAATTTTTTTTGTAACGTGTCAGGTGACATTGCCTCCCAAACTCATTCCTAACAAATAAATTCAACATTTAACACCAGATAAAAAACGACGTGAAACAATGAGAGCAGTTCTATGTTCATATTAATTCATTTATCTCGAAATCTAGTGGATTTACGAGGAAATTTCATAGGACATTTTTTGTAGAGCATTGAATTTCCAACAAAAAATATAGTATAACATTTTCTCGTAAACCCACTCCAACCCGAGATAATTCACCATTCGCCACTGGACGAAAAAAGAAATTCAATCATGACAGCATATTCCACATTTATATGATTCCAATTATCTCGAAACCTAGTAGATATACACGAAAAGTTGATAAACTCTTTTTTATGGAGAATAAAATTTCCGACAAAAAATGTTCTATAACATTTTCTTATAAACCCACTCCAAACCAAGATAATTCGCCATTCGCCACTAGATGAAAAAAGAAATTCAATCATGACAGCATATTCCACATTTACAAAAATCCAATTATCTCAAAACCTAGCAGATTTACAAGAAAAGTTGATAAAATCTTTTTTATTCAGAATAAAATTTCCGACAAAAAATTTCTATTCACTTTTTTCCCTAAACCGCCCCCAACCCGGATAATTATCGATTTAAACCGAGCACCAAGAATTCAGTCCTCAAAACGACTGACCCCCCCCGCCCCTCTAATTCCAGGTGAGCGCCTCTCGACCAGACGTTCAAAAAAGCCCTCAAAGCCCTCGACCACGACCCCTCCCACGCCAAAGCCCTCGCGCCCCCCCTTCGCCGGGCACTCGACGCCCTCGCGCCCCTCATCAATCCCCACCTCCCTGAGAGCCTCCCCGCACTCCCCGTCCTTCACCTCCGCGGAGGTTCTCCAGCGCGTGGACGCCCTCACAGCCCTCACGCGTGCGACAATGGAGCGAGTGGAGAGGCTCGCGTCCTCCTCCCCCCACTCCTCCGTCCCCCTCCCGACGCCGCGTGACCCTGGAGTAAAATTATCCCCAAGAGCAGCCGCCAAAAGACCCACCGACGACTCAAAATCCTCCCCCAACCAGAATCACCACCCCCTCCCCCCAGTCTCGATCCTGAAACACAAGACGTCAGATCCCCCAGAGCCGGAAACAGTATCGAATCCACTGCCAACAGTAGCATTTAACCTCTCGGACTCCCAGAACAACAACCCCGCGTCGACGAAAAAGCACGGAATCCTAAAGAAACGAAGTAGCCTCGACGAGAGCGAGATCCTCCGTCGGAACAGCAGTTCCCCAGACTCGATCCTAGTCAGTCCGGACTGTCCGTCCCCCCCAGACACCGACTTCCGCTCGATCCTAAAGTACGAGAGACGATCGTCTCTGGACGAACTCGTGAAGCGACCGAGTATTGAGCACAATCCGCCGTCAATCCTGAAGAACAGATGGTCAAGATCGAACGACGAGGAGGATCAGACGAGCGAGCGCCAGGGGATCCTGAAGAAGCACCCCCAGAGCATAGCGGACGCAGTGGCAAAGAGCCTCGGCGTCACGTGGACGGAGCTGGAGTCCGTGGACCGCAAGTCCGCGGAAGTTCGTCCGATCCTGAAGAAGAAGCTGTCGCACGACGAGTCGTCCTCCTCGGACCCCCCGTCGCTGGAGCCTCGGCCGATCCTGAAGAAGAAGTCGAGCACAGATTCCGACGAGCACGACGACAGACCGAGGAAGACGATCCTCAAGTACTCGTCGAGAAAGAACTCCGAGGACTCGAGCCACGAGTGCGAGACAGCTCCGAATTCCCCGAAGAAGCTGTCGGTTCTCAAACAGCACTCCCTCCAGAGGCGGACGAACAGCCTTCCGGAGTGCGACACCCTGACCGTCAAACCGATCCTCAAGAACTCCAGATCGCGATCGATCCAGAGCACCTCGTCATCGCCGAGCAGAGAACTGTTCATGAGGAAGCGAGCGCGATCTGTGGGGCATGAGCAGACGGACGGAAAGGACTGGCTGGATCCGTGGGAGGGGATCAGAAGGGAAGGATGTGGTGGCGATAGCGGTGGGACGGATATTGAGAGCGATCCGGTGGTGACGTTCGAGTTCCCCGAGGACTCGAAGCCCAACGACAACCCCAGACTGGGTTTCAGTAGCGAGGAGGCAGCTGTCAGAAGACTGGACGATTACTCCGCCAAAGTGAGGCGCGACAAGCGCGTCTCAAGGCGGTTCAGAGATCGCAGGGAAATGAGTCAATTATCGTCGATCAGGCGGGATGGGGGGGACGAGGGGAGCAAGACTGTTGTCGTTGGGTTCGAGGGGGGGGCCGGGAGGGGTGAGGGAAGCGGGGAGAGTCCGAGGTTTTGCACGCAACCGGTGACTTGTCAGGAGGTGCGGGAGGCAGCGGACCTCATTAAGGGGGAGAATGGTCTGGGAGGGTCCGGCAGGGATCTGGGGGATCCTGGGGATCCCTCGAAACTGAGTATTGCTCAAAGAGTCGCGCTGTTCAATCGCAAGATTGCCACTGAGAGCGCGGAGAGGGCGGGGTTGTGCGTTGAGAGAGGACAGAGGAGGGCTTTCAGCCGGTTTAGAACACAGCCTGTTACGTCGGAGGAGGTCGAGGACGCCGCTAGGCATGTTCCGAATCCACTAGTCACGGATGGCGATGGGAGACAGACGCCTGGGAGACTGCTAAATGGTGAGGCTTTTATCATTTTATTGAGGGGGTCGAGGGGAATCGCTCAGTGAATCACCTGCATGATCGCCCAATTATGAGGGGACAGTCTTTTCTTTCGATTACATTTCACTGACATTTCTCACTTGGGAACTCATGCTAGCACTTGGTAATTTATATATTTCATAATTAATTATTAATTATTTCATTTAATTTATGTATTTCATCTGTATATAGATCCTCGGTGAAATTAATAAATTCTGTCCTTTTATGGAGACCAATTATGTTGAAAAATTGAAGATAATTAATTGAAAATGACAAATTCTCTTCGATTCATTATCAATATTTATAAGGTATTCATGAGAAAATGAAATTCATTTCTTCATTTCAACAAATGAATAGATCAGCGCGCGCGTAGATCTTTTAGACAAAAAAGATTCACTTCCGATGCTCTTTACAGAGAATCAAGGTGGTGGAAACGGATGAGATATCCAATATAGTCACTCTCATTCAAGTCTGAATAAACCCGTTTCAATCTCGGAGAAAATCTATGATAGACCGAACTTGAATGGCTACGAAACTATCATATTCTAGCAATAGCTTGAGTCATCGCACATTCACAATACAAAAGATAATGCACTCTCAACCTTATTATCAACAGTTGTGGGTGCATTTTATTTTGTTGATTGGTGATTAATAGAAATTTCAATATCGAATAATGTTTTTTCTGTGTAAATGACATTGATTGGGGAAATTAGGGGGAAAATTAGTGCTCGGATTCGTTTTTGAGGGGGAAATGTCGCGGAAGAAAAGTCGGATCCCAGTTATGTTGTGTTCTTACATAGAATTTTAATTTGATTACTAATCAATTACTATTTGTGCCACAATATGACACTCGACGTCATGAAACTAGGTCTTGAAGTAGTTCTACCCTTACGGTAAATTCATTGAAAACTGCAAAAAAAATTTTTTTCTCAATTTAATTATCGTTTTGGTTTTTGAAAGAAGAAATGTTTAAAAATCAGGATTTAACCCAGTGGATTATGTGAAAATCAACATTTCCATTGTAATCAAAGATTAAAATCTGAATTTTTTTTCCACTAGATGTGAAAAAATCAAGAATTTTTTTGACACCGCATAAAAAATAATCCACCGTTTTGCAAACAAGTTTTATTATTTATTTATAAGAGGGAAATGTTTGAAAAAATATCATTATTTTGCGAAATTTAATTTGGATAATCCTGACTGGGTATGAATTTTTTCAAATTTTTTCCATGAAATTTAGTTGAAAAATTTAAAAACTGAAAATATCTACTTTAATCTTTCCAGAAAACTCTATCTCAGCCATTAACGGTCATTAAACCGATTTTATTAATCACTCGAATTTATTAAAACAGAAGAGTCCACAAGGTGTCCTTCATCAGGGCAATAATTTATTCTGTCCAACCAATACAAAATCAAACAGTTCTATTATAATAATAACTGGAAATCTTTTGGGATCTTCTGTTTTTTACAAATTCGACTGATTAACAAAATCGTTTTGACGACCGTCAATGGCTGACAAGTTGAAGTTTTCTGTTAGTAATCGATTAGTAATTAATAGTTGGTCGACCCCTGCAGTGAATTATAATTTTATTATTTCGTATTTTATTAATTTTTTAAGTTAAAAACCACGATACACCAAAAAGTATCCTAAAATCATCAAGTTCCTATACTGTATGCAACCTAAGTCATCGTTCATCATCAAAGAAATTGGACTTACGAACGGATTTATCCCAGGAGTTGGCAGAGATATCTGTCAATGTGTCAACGTCAGCGGAGACGTACAGTGACACCATGAAGAGATACATTGGATGTACAGTGCCTTCTTATGACTACACTGATAATAAAATTGATAAAAATTGTGGTTACAATGAAAAAATAATTGACAGCGTTAGTTGTGATAAAGGATCACGTGGCAAAACTGTGAGTGATCCATTGGATAACAGGAGTTTTAAGGGAATTGGTACAACACAGAGTTTGGATTTTCCGGGTGTCAGTATCGCCGATCGTTTGGCAGCATTGAAACGCAGTGGATCAACTGATTGGAAGCGTCGAGTTATTTCGGAGTCACTACCACCTTCGATAGTCGTAGAGAGGCCGATGGAAAATGATAAGGTCAGTTATTTTTTCTAATTCGATGGAGTGAGGGACAAGAACACGAAAGTCATTCTCAGTTGATTTCAAAATCAGAATGATCAAAAGAGAGGATCATTTTCTTGGTTTTGTGGAGATGAAAACCTTCGAAATTTCTTGGCCAATAACCGGGCCTATTGCCTCACGCATGGCTTATCTGTCCAGTCAATTTAATCTTGTTAAATTTGTCGACCAAATTCTAGGCCTCGAAATGCGTGAATGGAGTTACCATTCATATAATCCCAGATTTTTATATGAACTGCATTGAATACAAGTCTTGCGTTATTTTTTTGCATTTATCAAATGTCATGGGATGGGCATTTCGGTCTAGAGACAGTTTTTTACATTACGACGTGAAAAACTGGCAATTTATCTATAGAATGTAATAAATGTAAAAAATGTAAAAAACTCAAATAACTTGAAATTTTGACATTTGATATTGAAATTGAAATTTGAAATTGGTATTTTACATTTAAATTTTGAGTTTAAACGTGAAATTGAAATTCTAAATCAGGAACGCAAAATTGATATTTGAAATCTGCAATTGAAAATTGGGAAATTCTGAATTCTGCATTTTAAAATGATGAACTCTGAATTTTGAAATTTAGCACTTCTGAAATTTTGAAATTTTGAAATTATGCGATTCTGAAAGTTGAGATTGTGAAATTTGAAGTTCTGAAATTGTAAAATTTCGAAATCCTGAAATTTTGAATCTTGAACTTTGTAATTCTAAGATTGGAAATTCGAAAATTTCAAATTCGAAAATGAAAAATTTGCAATTTTTAAATACTCAAACTCGAATTTGGATTTTGAAATTGGAATGCAAAATTGAAAATTGAAAATTGAAAGGGTAATTTAAAATTGAAATTTGAAATTCCAAAATTGAAATTTTGGAATTTCAAAATCCTCAAATTTGAATTTGGCTGTTGAATGGAAATTGATAATTGAAAATTTGGATTGGAATTTTAAATTGGAACTTTTAATTTAAAATTTAAATTTGAAATTCAAATTTTCAATTGGAATTCTTAATCTGAAATTTGAAGTAGAAAATCAAAATTGAGATTAAAAATTGCACTTGAAAATCTGAAATTGAAATTTTTTATTTGCTTCAATTCCAAAATTAAAAATTTGGATTTTGAAAATCCTGAAATTTGAATTTCCATTCTGAAATTGGAATTCTGAATTGGAAATTGAAATTTGAGATTGAAATTTTGAATGAAAATTAAAAATTGAAAACTTCAATTAAAATTTCCAATTAAAACTTTTAATATAAAATTGAAATTTGGAATTCAAATTTAAAATTGAAATTAAAAATTGCAATTAAAAATCTGAACTTGAAAATTGAAAGTTTTTATCTGCTGAATGGTAAAAAATGAAAAAAGTCATTCAAATTTTCTTGTTATTAATTTCCTAGTATCCCATCGAATTTCTATATATAATCATAATAATAATGCTTTCTCAAGCATGAGAAGCGAAAAAAAAATTTTCAGGAAAAACAAATTGGACAAAAAAATTTGAGAATACTAAAAAGAAGTTTCACTTCTGTCGCGCGTGGACTCCACGCACTCTGTTTTTTCTTTATTATTAGCCACGACGATGTCAACTTCAATAATAATTGCTGACGAAGATAAACGCGTGAATGTAGCTATCACTCGCAATCCGAGATTTTGATCAGAACTCCATTGAACACTGATAAGAATTCCGATATCTCAAGATACTAATGACCCCCCGACGTGATGAATTTTAGGCCGACGTCAAGAGTGATATTTGTCAGAAAGAAAGGGAGGAGTGTGTGATCAGTCAGAAAAAATTGGCGGATCGTCTCGAAAAATTGGAATCAGCCGCTGAAGGATGGAGAAAGCGAGTTGCCACTGCCGATGCAGTGAAATTCTCCGTCGCGGGAAAGATGAAATTTGATCAGATCGACACAATCAGTCACAATTCAAAGCCAGTGTTCGAATCGATGGGGAACTGCAGCGGCGTTGAGAGGAAGAAGAAGACTCCACACAAGAGGGATGACGCCAGGAGGGGTAACTCACTCGATCATCAATCTTTCCCTTTTTCCTTTTCCGCAGAATTTGTTTCGATAACGACACGAATTTTCAGGGGTTCCAGATATTGTTGTGGGTGGAGACAGCAGCGATGCTGGTGACAGGAAAATATCGAGAGTCCTCACGTACAATAACGGAGGTAAATAAGAAAACTCAAAAGCTAAACGATGAAACGATCAAGTCGACTCTCAGCTGGGTTTTCGGCGAATATCTTCGAATCTGAGGGAGATAGATGATTTTTTGTAATGACCTTTTTTGTAGAGCGAATTGAGGGCTACAAAAAAGGTGGTGACAAAAATTTTGCTATCTCTCCTAGATTTCGAGATATTTATTGATAACCGCCAATAGTAAAAAATTTCTCCATTTGCCTTAGACCCCGAAGTTAATTGACAGCTGAAAAAAAAATCTCCGCAATTTTCAGACTTGGAAACCCACGAGACATCAATCCAGCACATTCCAAACCCCGCGGACGAGACCTTCACCGCCTTCTTCGACGGCATTTCCTTCGAGAAGTCCCAGGAGGAGACGATCGCCATCACAGAATCGGACTTTGACTTCATAACTCCCTCCTCGGAGAAGTTGTGTTCAAGAAAAACGACCCAGGTGCAGCGTCGCAAGGTGTCGACACACCACAACCCCTTGAAGGCCCTGGCCGCCCGCACAGACCTGAAATCCGAGTACACAGAGGTAAAAACAGGAGTGGCTGAACGCCTGATGAAGCTGAAGAACCTAGAAAAATTGGGTAAGAATTCCTCGCTGGCAGTGGAGGCCCTGGCAGGTCTGGCCTCCACCGAGAGCTTCACGTCGATCTCCCTGAAGGCCACTGACGACTCCTCCAACGGCTTCACCAAGTTCCACCCCAAGGACTCCCACCTCTTCCTCGTCCTCATCAAGGGCAGAAGACACGTCCAAGTGCGACTGGTGGAGCCCTCGATATCCAGCCTCAACTCGGGGGACAACTTCATTTTAGTCAGTAAAGCCGAGATCTACCACTACATCGGAAAATACAGCAATGTGATCGAGAAGTCGAGGGCGACAGAGATAGCCCTCAGCATCCAGCAGCACAAGGACCTCGGCTGCAAGGCCCCGAGGGTCGTGACCCTGGACGAGCAGAAGTGCCTGAATACCTCGGAGAAGACCCTCACCTCGGACTTCCAGAGGTTCTTCAGCCTTCTGGGTCACTCCTCGTCGTCTCCACCGGACGTGGCAGATGCCGGACACCCCGACGAGGACGAGCAGTACGAGTCAGCGTTGATCGACACCAATGTTGTGTACGATGTCTCGAACAACGAGCTGATCCCTCTGGAGAAGTACTGGGGGGCCATCCCCAAGATCAAGATGCTGGACCCCAGCAAAATCCTCATCTTCGATTTTGGCTCGGAGTTGTATATCTGGAATGGCAAGTGTGCGCCGGTGGAGTCGAGGAGGTCCTCGTTGAAACTGGCTGAGGCCCTCTGGGGCGAGGGCTACGACTACTCCGACTGCGCCATTTCCCCGGTTGATGCCGCACGAATGATCGGCAGGAGGACCGGGGCTGACGGAGGGTCGAGGAAGGGCAGGAGACCTGGGTGGTGCCTCTCGGCGAAGCTCACTCAGCACATGGAGACCGTTCTCTTCAGGGAGAAGTTCCTCGACTGGCCGAACTCATATGGCATCATCAAGTGCAGGAAACCTCCGGAGGAGAAGGACAAGGTTTGATTTTTTATTTATTTTTTAGTATTTCGTGAGGCGAATATTTGCTTTCAGACGTAAGGGAATGGCATCACGGTAAAATATCATTTGTGATAAATATCACTTTTTAAAATATCATATATCATATATCATGTAATTTTTAAATTTTCAATAATATTAATTAATTTTTTTAATTTTCAATATATTCAATGATATTTCAATGGTTTTTATTTTTTGATTTTTTTTTTATTTTTTATTTTTTTTTTATTATTTCGTGAGGGGAATATTTGCTTTCAGACGTAAGGGAATGGCATCACGGCAAAATATCATTTGTGATAAATATCACTTTTTAAAATATCATATATCATATATCATGTAATTTTTAAATTTTCAATAATATAAATTAATTTTTTTAATTTTCAATATATTCTATGATATTTCAATGGTTTTTATTTATTTTTTTAAATTTTTTTTTTTGATTTTTTATTTATTTTTTAGTATTTCGTGAGGGGAATATTTGCTTTCAGACGTAAGGGAATGGCATCACGGCAAAATATCATTTGTGATAAATATCACTTTTTAAAATATCATATCATATATCATGTAATTTTTAAATTTTCAATAATATAAATTAATTTTTTTAATTTTCAATATATTCAATGATATTTCAATGGTTTTTATTTATTTTTTTAAATTTTTTTTTTTGATTTTTTATTTATTTTTTATTATTTCGTGAGGGGAATATTTGCTTTCAGACGTAAGGGAATGGCATCACGGGAAAATATCATTTGTGATAAATATCACTTTTTAAAATATCATATATCATATATCATGTAATTTTTAAATTTTCAATAATATTAATTAATTTTTTTAATTTTCAATATATTCAATGATATTTCAATGGTTTTTCTTGATTTTTCGTCGCGTGTGTGAACACGGCCGTGTAATTCTTTCTTTCTTCGATAATTCATTACCACAATACGGCTATTTAATTCCATTTTCGGTATGTAAACACTGCTGGGTTTTTCCCTCTCCTTATTGATCATGTTTTGAGGTCACGAATAATTGCGGTGTATCAATAAAGTTTTTCTTCATGTACACTCGTAATTTGTGTTTTTTTAAAATTTGTTTATGATCATTTTGGTTTGTGATATTTTGATTTGTGATATTTTGCCGTGGAGCCCTTTTGTTTTCAAGTTTGTTATCAATATCTGGAAGATTAGTGGAGATACGACATTTCACACGGATTCTGTTCCATAAATTCTCATGAATTTCCTAGAAAAGGTTCTATACTGCGATTTCATGTTTATTTAATATCTCGAAAACGATTGGAAACGCTGCGATAGGTCTAAAGCTCATTCAACCCTTAGTCTATCACTTGGTCACTGAGTTTTGTGCACTCATTATCCGTTTTTAATAAATCATTTTCCCGCATTCCAGTGATTCCATCAGAAATTGATAAAATGGAGGAGAAAGGAACCAAATTACACGAGTAATGACTATCAGAGATAGCCATAATCATAAATTATAATTATCATTAATTTAATAAATACTCAGTCAAATAATAGAACTTACCAATTTCCAATTGTTAAATTAATCAACAATTGAATATTCAAATTTCGATTCATTTTACCAATCAATAACCGAATTCGGAAGAATGACACCGAATGATTTCGATTGTTTATGAAATTTTCAATTATTTACAGAGTTCCAAGTTCCAATTATAAATGAATGAATTCGGTTATTTCAGGAAAAAAATTCTCTTGATATTTCTGGAATATTTCTGGAATAATGCCGATCACTGATGAATGTCTTTCCTACGATTTAAAGAAATTTCCAATTTTTTTGCGCAAAATTCCATCCCGTTTTAC